CATGCAAAGGAATATTGTGGAGCTGTAAAAAGGGAATGAATTTTTGAGACATGCTACTTCAGTGAACCTTGAAAACATTATCCTAAATAAAATAAACCAGACACAGGGCAGATATTGTATGATTCCATTTATACAAAATATCTAGAATAGGGAAATTCCTAGAGACAAAAAAGTAGATTAGAGGTTACTGGGGGATATAGGAAGGAAGGGAGGGGAATTTATTTCTTAATGTTTTTAGTTACAGTTTGTGATAATGAAAAACTTTTGAATATGGATGGTGGGAGTGTATGTACAACATTTTAATTTAATTAATATCACTGAATTGTACATCTAAAGATGGGTAGAAGGACCAAAAGTTTTGTATGTACCACAATATTTATTTATTTATTTTTGAGACAGAGTCTCACTCTGTCACCCAGGCTGGAGTGCAGTGGCATGGCCTCTGCTCACTATAACCTCTGCCTTCCAGATGCAAGTGATTCTCCACCCTCAGCCTCCCAAGTAGCTAGAACTACAAGCATGCACCACTAAAAATGCAAAAATTTTTTAGTAAAGATGGAGTTTCACTGTATAGGCTAGGCTGGTCTCAAACTCCCGACTACAAGTGATCCACTTGCCTCATTATATGTACAAATTTTAATTGCCATTTTTCTATTAACATCATAAAACTGTATTCAAAGTAATAGCTTTTAATATTAATAATATAGTTTTTAATAATAGATTACATATACTCTTAAATTTCTCTTGTTTTTCCAACTACAGTCTACTCCTTTATTCCTTCTCCCACCAAGTTAAACAGTCAATATTCTTTATCCTAATTCTACATTTATTTGATAGGTGCACGTAGTCAGTAGTATGCTATTCAATGATCATTCACTGATTTAAATAATTCACTCCTTGAAATTTCTACAAATGCAGGCCTTGCCTTCAGTTAAATTTATAGGCTCATATAAATGCTGCAGCAGGCATATGAGAACTTTTAAATGTTATTAAATGAAAATTTTCAGCATATATAAAATAGTACAATGCATTTGTTTATACCTTTATCTTATCAGTAATATCAAGATTTGTCATGCCTAAAAAGTTTATTCCTTTTTTGTTGTTGCAGAAGTATTTTGATGCAAGTTCAGTCACATTTAATCTGTACATATTTCAGTATGCATCTCAAAAAAGAAAAAAAAAAAATGACACTTTCTAATGTAAATTGATGCCATAATCTCACATGTTAAAGTTAACAGTAATTATTTGATACTATCTCATACTCTGTCTTTGACATTGCCTCAATTATGTGCCAAATGAAAATTGTTTGATTTTGGATCCAACCAAATTCTGATTTACATTTAGTCATAATATGTTTTAAGCCTTCTTTTGTCCAGAGAGTTATCTCTTTTTTATTGACAAAGCTGCATCAGTTGTCTTATAAACAATTTTTGTGTCTCTGCTTCCTTACGGTATCATTTATTTTTCTGTTTTCAGTATTAATCTATAATGTTTGATTAGATTTAGGTTCAGCTACTTTTTAGTACATACTTGATAGTTGGTTCTGTGTGCTTTATATTACATCATATAAAGAAGCATATGTTTGGTTTTTGTACTAATCATGTTAACGTAGATCATTAAAGTCAGTTGGTAATACCTGATGTTTTCATCAAAAATTTTATATCAACCTTTCATCTAATGATTTCATCCATTTATGATCTTTACCAAACTTAATTTTGTCATTAGGTTTGCAAAAGAGTAATTTTCTAATTCTGTCAATGTCTTTAAAAGTTGTAGAAATTACAATATATTTCCTACTGATGGAAGTAATCCAATAGAAAAAAATTATGATATAAGAAATAACTCTTAATTTGAAGAAGCAGTGGACTTGGTAGGTAAGAGGGCCGGGGGCCCAGTGCATAAGTGATGGATCACCTTAGATAGAAACAGGAACTGTATAAGTGAGTTAAGGAAACTTAGAGTAGCACAGAAAATATTATATTAAACTTCTATGAAAACTTTGCTATTAAAACTGGTAATTGTATGTAATTTTAGAAACCTGTGCATTTTTAGTATTTGATGTATTGTGCATTAAATCAAAACTTAAAGTCGTTACAAATAACACTGCCTGTATTTGACATTGCCCCTTCTTATTACACTTTTTGTGATTTCTTTCTTAAAAGTACGATTTTAAATTAATGGTCTCAGGCTGGGCGCAGTGGCTTACACCTGTAATCCTAGCACTTTGGGAAGCCGAAGTGGGTGGATTGCTTGAGCCCAGGATCAGCCTATGCGCCATGTCAAAACCCTGTCTCTACAAAAAATACAAAAAATCAGCAAGGCATGGTGGTGTCTGCCTGAAATCCCAGCTGCTTTGAGGGCTGAGGCATGAGGGTCACTCTGGAGTCCAGGTGGTCGAGGCTGCAGTGAGCCAAGATCACACTCCAGCCTAAGTGACAAAGTGAGACTCTGTCTGAAAAAATTAGGTAATTAATTAATGGTATCTTATATACCTCTATCTGATACAAAATATAGGCATGTACTTTTATGTAGCTGGTCTTCATCTCTTGTTGCTAGTTTCCTTCAAAGAGAAGTAAATGCTACTGTTAAGTAAAATGACAAACAATGGGCAGTTTAGTTGACACTAATTGAGCTAACAGCCTTTAAAATTACAAAAGCAGCAACTTTTATGATTTATAGGCTCATTTTTTAAACATAGTTTGGCCATATACCTGACAGTCTCCTTTTTTTGTGACCTTCTCCTAAAAATTATGGTTTTGTGTTTTCTGAGTGGAAAGGCCATAAGTTCAGTAGAAGAATATGACAGCATCTCTTCTGAGGATTATAGCATTTCTGAGTGGTAGATATAGAATCTCCTTTTTTCTTTCCTTTTTTTATGTCAATAGTTCTAATGCATGTAATTTAATTCTCAAACAATATGTGCTGCAATTGTGAACCTATGAACTATTTTCAAATATCCCACAAGTGCTAGCATGTGAAATTTAGCTTTAGACAATCACATTTCTTTGTGGCTCAGTAATTTCCACTTACTATCTGTTAGCCTATATAATCTGAAAAGTGTAGGGGTTACTGTGTGGTCTGACATGGTATGTATTATCAGAATTCTAATGACAACATAGATGTATAATCTCTTTAGTTATTTAGTGCCATGTTTTGTTTCTTTTTTTTTAAATCAATCTGTATTTAAATTAGACTGTTTTGGCATTCACAAAAGAGCACACTGTAGTTTTCTCCAAAAACAAGAATGTAATCTGATCTAAGTTTTGTATTGTCTGCTGATCTGGATAAGAACACTTTGTATTAGCTACACTGATCAGTTCCTATCCTTTCTAGTCATTTATTGGACACTTAATACAACCTTGTAAAGACTCCCTAGAGTATCCCCATCAACTAGATCATTTTATACAGGAACAAGAATACGTATAACAAGATAGACAATGAGAAAAACTGATTAAGAGAAACTGGAAAAATTAAATCCACAGACTCACATTATATTTTTCAGGCTTTATCCACCTTTACAAATGAAAGCTATTTGAACTCTCTGTTGAAATATTTTGTAAAATCCAGCAAACTTAAATTTTTATAGATTTGAATTTTCATTGTTTAAAACATGAGAATTTAGGTATATCACTATAATTTTTTCTTTTATTTCTTCTAATTCCTATAATCTAATTCTTTTTTCTACAAGTGTTAATGATATTCTTTTAGTATTATTTTAAATTCAAAACTACTAGAAAATAGGTCTGTGTGTCAGAATCTTTAAAACAGTATAAACTCCTTATGACTTTTTAAATATTGGTAGTTTCACAAATTTGCCCTTCAGAATATATTTTAAAACATTTTACAAAGTATCTTGGAATTTTGAAGCAGCAGCACCAAAAGGAAATATGTCAGGTAATTGAAAATGTTTCCATTAATTCAAAAAAATCTTTCACAAATTTTAAAATCAATTTCTTTTGGTATTTGTAATAACTGTTTACAAAAGAAATACTCATTTCTTAAAAGCGAGTTTATATGTTGTGTTAGGTCACTGAGAAGATTATAGTTGAATACCAGGTTTCTGCAATAAGCCTGAAAAACTAATTAATTTTTATTGCCTTAATGTATAACTGTAAAGTATAAAATAGGTCATAGGACCCGTGTATTATACTAACCAATTTTACCTTGGTCTTGTCTTGCATCGTATATTTTCATTTTATTCACTAGATATGAAACAAATACTATTAATAATGTCTTTATTATTTATGAATTTCAAGTTTCATAAACTATCTAAATTTCATGTTTAATCCTAATATTCTGTTTTTATTAAGGTTATATCATCAATATAGACAGCACTGATTCATTTATCCAACAAATATTTGCAGTGTACTTATTATGTGCCAGAAGCTGTTGTAAACACTGAGAATACTACAGCACAAAACAAAACAAATTTACATTCCACCTAGAGCTCACATTCTAGTGAAAAAGTAAAAAATAAATGTAAAATATCAGGTAATGAGTGTTGCTATGATTAAAGAAAGAGTGTGATAAGTGATGGAACAACTCTACTATCTATGTTGTTACCTCCATTATTTTCAGATTATAATGTCTTACAATTATCTGGTTTTATGTCTGTTTTTTGCCCCTGAAGAGGAAGATCTTTGAAAACTGGATTTATAGATCTTTATTGGCTTGTTACCAGTTTCTAAACCTAAGTTCTTTTATAAGTACTCAGTAAGTATTTGTTATGTTAATGAATCAGTGATATGTTCACAACTTCTCTGGACCTCTGATTCTGCTGGAATCCAAATGCCCTTTTTGAGACTAAAATAACTAAAAAAGAATTTACAAAAGGAATCATGAGAAGAGACATGTATACGTTACATGTGGTTCAATTAAATGTTTTAAATTAGAGTTCTACATTTTACATTATTTTCTTGGCATTTTAATATTCTTTTTCATAGTTAGTTTTTAAATGCTAAATATGGAATATTTTCTAAAAATCAGTCTTTTATCCACAGGTACTACTGAGCGAGTGTGCTTGATCCAGGGAACAGTTGAAGCACTGAATGCAGTTCATGGATTCATTGCAGAAAAAATTCGAGAAATGCCCCAAAATGTGGCCAAGACAGAACCAGTCAGCATTCTACAGCCCCAGACCACCGTTAATCCAGATCGCATCAAACAAGTGAGTGTTTAGTTGAGAAATCAAAGAGAAATATCTACGGCATAGTATAAGTTCCTTACAAAAGAAGCCTTAAAGTCTTAGCATAAAACTTTTATTTTAACCATACATAAAACATACCAGAGTTTTCATTTAGTTATTTAAAGACTATCAAGGTGTAATCCTTATATTGATCAATTAATTTATTGAGTAATTGAATTATTCATTTATTAGTGTTACATTGAGGAGCACTTATGTGACTCTTTGTGCCCTTTTTAAATTTATAGACACAAATTTAATTTATAGGAATTGAATTTATTTAAAATTATATCACTTTTTAAACAAAGTATTGAAATGATACATTCAAAATTTCCAATACCCTATTTTTAGTGATACATGTAGTTTGCAGGATAGTTATTACACATAAAGGCTCCTGTTTTGTTAATTTTATTGTCATGTTCTACATTTTTTATCAAAAAAATATGTATAGTAAATTTATGTATCTATGATACAGTCCTTTGTTACAAATCAGTTATTGTGTTTTGTGTAACTTATGTAGTATTTAAATATATGTCATAAGGGCCATTGTTTATATTTAATGTATGAGATTTTTTTGTAAAAACAATTTTACTTGGGAAAAACCGATGTGAGTTTTTAAGATTGAGTAATGGCTGACACGATGTAGGGGGAAAATGGCATTATTTCATGTTAAATAAGGTGGATTCTTCCACCACAGGCTCTTTACATCTATAAATTTATTTGATTATGTTCATAATTACTGTTTCTACTTTGCCCTTTTATTATTAGTATCTTAATTTGTGACAATTTTACTATCACAGACTATGGCTTCAAATGAAATGTATTAGTCATTAATTCACAGAATAATTTATAGAATATTCATGTTCATTGTAATAAATTTGAAATGTAGCTCAAAGTCTTATTAATTTCATGTTTCTGAATTGAAAAAGTATTATACTGAACAGTGTTATGAATCTATTATAATTTTACCAATATAGAGGTAAATATAACGTTGACTAATGAAATAAACATAGAAATTGATAATTAGGCAATATATTTTCAAATTATAAACTGATGTCCAATTTTCTACTAATTACTTTTTTTTAAAAAATCCCTTTGTGTTTAAATCATGAGTAGGTAGTTGTTATACTACAAAAATATTCATATTATACTTTTTGTCGATGTCCGATGGTTCAGTTTATGTACCCTTCGTAAGTCTTAAAAGAAGTACCCCTTAATATATACATGAAAGAATATAAATATTTTACAGTTGTAAATATCAGTGGATATTTTATTTTTCATAACCATTTATAGTTGTGTTTTTTCTACACTCAGTGAATACAAAGAATAGTTCGAAGACTGAATAAAGTAATACTGTGACTTTTTCCAGAGTTTAAAAGTAGGAGTATAGTTAAAGACTTGTGTTAAAGTCATCTGGGGCTAAGAGTTTACAGAATAAGCACTGAAGTATAAGTTCTGTTGGCTTTCTGCCTTAATCCAGTCTATAAGTTCCTCCTTTTCTTTTGCAATTTCTCTGAGAACGTTCAAACATTTAGGGATAGAAGCCAACATCTTGATTTTTTTTTTAAACATAAAATTTAGTAGTATGATACCATTGAGAATATGTTCAGGACAATGATATGAATTTTTATTATTTTTTATAAAAACAAATATACCACCAAATAATGGTCTATAAATCATTGTTAAAATTCCAATTTTCTATATGGCATTATGAGATTTACAGGCTATCATATATCCAATGTTAGTATAGATTTATAAAGACTAGGATTTTAAAATATTTGCTTTATTTTTATTTGTCTTTTTTGGATAATGTTATTTGAATTCAAGTTAAGTATAAAAATAATAGTGATTTATTTACTTTTGCGTATTTGCATCCATTTGTGAGCCTTGTAGGTATTCATGGAATTAAAGCTATTGTTGACTATTTAATATTTTCATGTAATCCGTAATGTATGTGACAGTATGTCATTTAAAAGGATTTATTAAAAAGACAACACTAAATCTAACAGGACATTGTATTTAACACTTACATATTTTCTTTATATTATAAAAGTTGAAAATTTTACTTGGAAAATCTAGTAAAGTGGTGAAAGGTATTTCCAAAATATTATAAATCAGTCAGATCTTTTGCTCTAAGTTTGCGTTCTCTGACTTTCTAGGTATCCAATTTTACCAATGTAATACTCTTTGCTGAATTATTCTCTAAATAATAAGTATATAAATGACCATAATATTTTATTTCTGAAAAATTATGCTGTTATTCAGTATAAAATAATTATGTCTAAAATTTTGCAGTGGAATAGATTGAAATACATTTTGTATGATGCTTTTGTATGTTTTAAACTAAGTAAATTGAATGAACCAGATATTTTACCCAATTGAAAACTGCCCTTATTGAATTGAGGGTATTCTCGAACAAGTATAGTTTCTTGGGAAAGTAGTACCTACTGGTCTCTGAGGTCTTTCATATAGTAGAATAATGAAATTCAGCACAACAGCCTTATATATAATTTGATGTATTAGCTCTTGTGGAATATTTAATTCTTAATTCATATATGTGTTTTTTTCTAAAAGCTACATCAGGAAATAAGTGGTTATGGATGTTTAAAGATTCTCTTGTATTTTAAAAGATCAAAGTAAGATATAAAAAATATTTCATTTAACCCCAAAAATTTTACTGTCATCATGACAAATTGACAAAAATAGCACTTGTTAATTTGTTCATTATTCATGGGCATGAATAATTATGAATTTATTAAATGCCTTCTTAGTAACTAGCAAAATAAACTAAATTGTAGCCCTTGCAGACCAGTTTGTGAGAATAAGTACTTAAAATGACTTATAGAAATGTATAATTGTGTTTATATACCAAAACTACAATGGAAACAATATGCTATAAAAATTCAGAGGCCTGGCCAGGTGTGGTCACCCACACCTGTAATCCCAGCACTTTGGGAGGCCCCGGTGGGCGAATCACCTGAGGTTGGGAGTTCAAGACCAGCCTGACCAACATGGAGAAACCCCTTCTCTACTAAAAATACAAAATTAGCCAGGCGTAGTGAAGCATGCCTGTAATCACAGCTTCTGGGGAGGCTGAGGCAGGAGAATTGCTTGAACCTGGGAAGTGGAGGTTGCGATGAGCCAAGATCGTGCCATTGCACTCCAGCCTGGAAAACAAGAGCGAAACTCGGTCTCAAAATAAATTAATAAATTAATAAATTAATTAAATAATTCCGAGGCCTGTAAAAGAAATACAGGCTAGAGTGACAGTTAATAGTCTTGTAAATAGGTGAAAACTTGACTGGACCTTGAGGAATAGGCTAATTAGAGGAGAAGAAAGAAAAATACTTTTTTTGGAAGGTGAAACAACATAAATCTGGGGAAAAGGATATCATATTTGTTGAATAGTAAGGAGACTGTTGGCAGAAGTGGAACATTTATGTTGGAGTTGAAAGGGAATTAATGTTAGATAGATGATTTGGAGCCAGATAATGAAAAACCTTGGATGTCTGGTCAAAGGACATCCTGTGCAATACAGATTTGCCTAATATTTTTCTAAGGAGCCCTTTTAATTAATCTGAAAGATTGTGGGAAAAAAAGAAGAAGAAGAAGAAGTCATTTATGCAGTTTGTTCTCTCTTGCACTAAAAATCCAGACAGATTCTTAGGGAGCTTGTAGATACAGCTATTCATAGGAAAAGAGAATTGTAAATTGACTAGTTCAGATGCTGGAAGACAGTTCAAATGTTGGAAAAAGGGGAGGATATTTGTCAGAAATTAAAAGCTGAAGATTACAGCTACATATTTAAATATTTCATTCATTTTTAAATGGTACGGTATACAGATTTATTTAACAGAACTCAAAGTAGGGGTTTAGGAAGGTGATTACTTCAGTAATGTTAGTTCACTAGTAATACAGCTTGAATTACAATTGAGATTTGTTGTTCATTGCTATTTTCACTTTGCCTATAAAATATCAGAGATTCTTGACAGTCTATTACTGCAGACTAGCGTGAAAGCAAGCCCTGTTTATTACAGTGTTTATTAATAATAATATTCTCTGGCCCAGCAAAACTGTCATTTGTTAACAAGAATTCATCTCATAATTTGTAATAACCTTGTACTTATTTCCAAAAGCCTAGTTATGTCTACATTTAATTACCTATGGTTAAATTCTTGATTTTTAAAAAAAAACTATATTTCAAAAATTCACTGTTTTAAATTGTTAATAATTTTTCTGCAATAAGTATTTTCACCCTTCAATGTTTAAAGAATTCTTAAACAGCCGTTCAAGTAATATAGAGAAAAAATATATTATGCTTTTCCATTTGAAAGAGAAAATGGTGCTAAAAATGACTCTTGTCTTTCACATTCATTATTTGAAAAATGTAAAAAAATATTGTAGGAATGTGTACTTCGTTCTAACTAATATATCAATATATAATATTATGTGGATATTCAGTTAATTACATCTTCATGATGTATATCAGAAATTTCACTAAAGCATGTTTAACATGAAACCACTAAACTTTAATTAACTCTGCACAGTAAATGGATGTAAAAGTTTGTTTACAAAATATTGAGGGAACAGGCCAGGTGCAGTGGCTCTTGCCAGTAACCTCAGCATTTTAGGAGGCCAAGGGAGAGGACTGCTTGAAGCCAGGAGTTTGAGACCAGCCTGGGCAACAAAGTGAGACTCTGTCTCTATAAAATAATAATGATAATAATAAAAAAATAAAATATTAAGGAAATAAACAGTTTGTACATTTATATTGTACATTTAAATATTTCTTATGGTTTTTATCATAAGAAATCTATATAGAAATCTATATGGTTTTATCTATATGATTGAGAACAATTATCATACTGGTTCCATTAACTTAATAATCTTTTACATTACAAGTATTACTTCAACATATTTACATTTAGCTATTTATGAGAATACTTTTTTCCTAGTATTTAAAAAAAATCAACTGAAATGAAACTTTCCAGAATATTTTTATTGTTGTAAATTGAATTTATAAAGCAGGTGTCCTTTTGTGCTTAAAAATATTTATATGAATAATAGTTGAAAAACTCATCACATCTTTATTTCATTACATTTTCATTATTTTAAGACTTTAAAAAATATATTTAGAGACAATTTGCTGTGACATTTCAACTGTTTTATAACTTGAAACCCGAACTTACATAATTTTTAGTTGTCCATTAATATATTAAAATGTAACCTCTTAACAGATTATGATGTTTACCAACCGAAAACTTAATTATTTAAAGCACATTGATATTGTCTAGAAGTTTAAAATCGTTGATTTTATTCCTGTGGGAAAGAAACAGCATCACAATTATTAAGGACAATTTTTATGAATGTGAGTTGTATGAATTATTAATGCATGTTCAATATTTCATATATATGCCAAGCAAAAAGAAAGGCAATAAAAATTGACAGACGATCATATTAATCTAAGTGATTACAAATTGTGAGCCATTTAATATTTAATTTTAATTTTAATTAAAAGTTTAATTTGTGATTAAACTTTTTCTACATAGTTCTTTGCAATTAAGACCTTGTTGAGACTTTGTATCTAAGACAAGGTGAAGGTCATATTAAACCTAATAGTACTTCAGAATGATTTTCCATTAGGTAGTTCTTCTAATGGAAGTAGAAAAGTTCAGCATACATAGAATTGTGTGTCTTGTAGATTAATCAACATGAATTCTAACCTATACTGGGAGAAATGACCTCTAGATTTATTTAACATGTGTTTAGTCACCAGCCTCATTATTAATCTGAGATTAGTACCGAACAGATTTTTACATGTATGTAACTCCTGCCAGCTATCCTCTGTAATAACACTTGTAACCAGTTGTAGAAAAATAAAACCTTTACTATTCAATTCATAGAGCAAATAGTAGCATGGAGTCATTAGCACATGTCTCAGCAAAGTATTGCATGGGAAATAAAACATTAGGGAGATTTTTAATGATTGAAAATAAAATATCTCTTGAGAAATAGCAAGAATTAATCATAAAAAGCAAAAATAGAAAATGAAATATTGAAAACTTTTAAAATTTTGAGGATTTACGGATTGTGATAGCTCGCCTACCCCCTTTTTTATATGATTTGGTAAAAATCTTGGTTTGACTCACTATTAGGTCTAGGTTTCCTAGAAGTATTAGGTTTTAACTTTAGAAGAATCAGGAATTATATGAAGAGTGGTCTATATGAAACTTGGTATGATTTTAGAACCAGTCTTATTTTGTTATTGGAGGGCAGTGAGTTAACCAGAAGCCTGGGAATTTCTTATTCTTTTTTTTTTTTCTCTTAATGACTTTATTGTACCCAAATAACAACTTTTGAAATATTAAATGCAAAAATATGACTTCAAGTAATTTAATCTGCTTTTCCTTTCACTGCTGAACCTTTAAAGTTATGCTTTTGCTCATATCTGAGTAATTTTGACAAATATATATTAATATACAATATAATGTCTATATACAATTGTATTTTTAGTATAAAAACTTATCCCATTTCACCTGTTTAGAAATATTATCTATTGAGGATGTAACATAAGCAATGCTATTTTGCTTAGTAAACATATGACACTTAAAAAGTTCTTAACATCTTGCACTTTAAGGTTTTTCTATTAGACACAAGAACTTTTAAAAATATCTTAATGAATTGTTCAACATGTGTAGATGGCCTTATACAACATATTATATGTTTAGCAAGTGTATATGTTTAGAAATGAAGTGAACAATAAATATGATTCCTAAGATTTTTGTGTTTATTTTTAAAACAGTTGATGATGCTACAATATAGATATGCTCTTCATCTATATTAAATTTACTCTTTAGAATAAATGATAAAAACATTATGATAATTTTTAAGAATGCTTTTAGTTACCTGTTTATTAATATGAGGTTAATGTTTACATTTTCAGACGGGCCCTAAATTTATTAAAAATTAATATTTTAGAAGATAATATGATATTAAGAACTCAGAACTTCAAATTTAATTGCTTTTAAGTATGGATCCCTAAATTCATGTGGAATCAACTTGTTGGTGATGTTCAACATATTAAGTAGGTGGATACTTTTATGCCAAAGTAAACTTCATTTCACCACTTCTTCAAATCTCCGACTGTATTCATTGATAGGAAAGTGACTCTTTTGGTTTTATTCATTGAACTTCTTGAATTTTTTTTTACATCTCTTTTCCCCCAGAAAACAAGAGGGAAAGAAATGAAACTACTATTCATGAATATGGTCAGGATACTTTTAGTACTCATGTGAATTTTTATTAATCACCATCATGATTTCAAGTCATGAATTTATTTTTACATGCTTATGCATGCATGTTTACATGCATTACTTAATTGATCTTAAAATCCATTAAATCCAAATGAGTAGGAGAAAAATTTGTTCATAGGATTTTGTTCTCGTTATATTACATTTTATTTTATTTTGTTTTATTTAAATACTCAGTTTAAGGCTTATAAAGGTTGATTTGCTCCTGAACTGCTTTGTTTCCCAGACATTGCCATCTTCCCCAACTACCACCAAGTCCTCTCCATCTGATCCCATGACCACCTCCAGAGCTAATCAGGTACAGTATCATCCTGTCATCTACACCATACTTTTCACGGGTGATTGCCTGCAAACTGGAGAAAAAGATAATGGTGGGTTAAGGATTTATTCGTTCATTCACATATATGCACCATAATCAGATTCCAAATAACCTAAGAAAGAAATATCAATAATTTCTAAAATTTTATATGCAGTTTTAATTTTAGATAACAAAAACTATATTCAGATATTAAACTACTAGAATTTTTTTTCCTGAAAATTGTGACTACCCAATGGGGCTCTGAAGACTATTCATTGAATTGGTATTTTTAGGCTATTCATTGAATTGGTATTTTTAATCTCCCTTATTGTATCTTCCTAGAATTCTTTATATGTAAGTCAAGGATATCATATATGTAAAAAATAAATGTATAAATTGAGCAAAGGTATATCTTTAAAAGTGGATGCAATTTTATTTGCTTTTTATTTGAGACATGCCTTACTGTATAAACAACTTTAAACTACTGATGAAAAGCATTTCTAGCAATCTAAAAGAAACTGAAAATTGACATTTGTGGTAATTTTAATGTTTAACAACTCAGGAGATGGTGTTTTCCTAGTATTTAAAAAAAATTCTATCATTTCCATTGATCAACTGGCAAACTTTACAAGTAGAATATATTTTATTAGTTGATTTATGATTGTTTTGATACTATCTGTAGGTCATTCCTCAAAAATGTAGTTATTTTTGAAAAATACAAGAAGATTATCTAAAATATTTATGTAATTCAGAGTCATACTGTAATTTGACAAATGTTGAATAATATACTTATTAAAATTATTAAACACATTTTTATTTTGTCTGAGTTGAGCTTCATTTAGGTGAGAAATGTTATTTTTAATAATACAAGGCTTTATGGGTTTATTTAAATATTAAACAAAAGCTTATCTGTTGAATGTATTTTTCATACAGTTGACTAACACATTATTAACTTTGAACTGTATTTGCTAAATATATTAAATGTGGCCTTTGCATATTATCTAATATAAGACTCTCAGAACTATTTTGCCGATTGATCCTAAAACTTCTGCAACTTGAAGAAAGATTTAAATATAATAACTGGAAGCAAAACTTATATTTAGGATGATATTTTATACTACAGGTTTGATGTTCATTTTATGCAATAGTGTTCCCTTCAAACAAAAGTATTTTATAATGCAAACATTTTTAGGCCCAATAAATTGGTTAGTAAAGTACACATCTCCAGTGATAAAACCCAGCACTTCTCTTTGAAGGAAATGGTACTACATAAAGTGAGAGCCAAGCTTGTATTACAAATGCATGAAGTTTAAAAATATACTTACATTTTCACCCTACATACTTTATCTTTTACTGAGCTTTAATTATATAGTATAAAAACCTTTTAGGAAAACAACTGATTTTATGTTTTTAATATTTCTTTTGTACTTTATCATTCTGTCTTTTCCAAATGTATACGTGACAAACACTACCACAATAAAAATAAAACTAATGATTTTTCTTAAAGTAAAAAACTCTGGATCTAGAAAAGAAAACCTTCTTACTAATTTTGCCTTCGAAGCTAAATTTGTGTTTTCTTTTGTTTCTTCTTATTTGAGCATGAGAATATTTATAAAATGTTTTTTAAAGACGAATTATATATTTAAGTTACTAATATTGTATTTTTACTCTCTAGATAAAGTACATTTACCTCTGCCAAATCTTAATTTTCTTATTTTGAAATAATAAATCATATGTAATTTTCTGTCCACTGTACTCTGTTACAGTGTTACTTATACTCTGTTTTCTTCTGTTCTTGTACTAAGAAGCATAATATCTCCTGGACATCATGAAGCAAGATATAAGAGAAGAACAAAACAGAATCCATAATTCATTGAAAGAATTGTAATCATCAATCTTTCATATTATTAATAGTTTGTAATTATTTTATCCCCAACAGTATTTTCCAGTAGATTCTAATCATGTAGTAGGGCAGAAGGAAATGTGTTTTTTTGTTGTTCATTTGTTTCTTGTCAATATTCTCAATTAATTTAGCTTTGCTATACTGACATATCTGAAAGTGTATAACCAAGGTAAGAAAATAGGTTCTAATATGACCATCTTAAGCTAATTGTAATAAAAAGAATGATGGATTGTCAATATGCAGAAAACCAAAAATAAAAAACACAGAAAACTATTCAAGGAGTAAATTTGATCTGCATTTCCAATATTTAAAAATATTTTTATTCCTTTTAAAATGATGACATGTTTTAGCACATAGTGAATTTTACTTTCTTAATCTTGAGACCCCTTAACACATTTCCATAGGTCAGACTGACAGACTCTGACTACAATGTTGTTCTATAATAATTTCCTCCTTAAAGTGAAAGCCTATCATATGAGAAGCCTTATAAAATGATGGTTAAGGCCAAGCATGGTGGCTCACACTCGTAATTTCAACACTTTGGAAAACTGAGGCAGGAGAATCACTTGAGGCTAGGAGTTTGAGACCATCCTGGGCAACATAGCAAGACCGTGTCTCTAAAAATACATACATTTTAAAAATTAACTGGATATGGTGGCACTTGCCTGTAATCCTGGCTACCTGGAGGCTGAGGCAGGAGAATTGCCTGAGTCCAGGAGTTCAAGGCTGCAGTGAGCCATCATCATGCCATTGCTCTCCAGTCTTGGGCATTACCTTAAGTCTCAGTTTTCCATCTGTGAAATTCAAATAATAACTCCTCATAGGGTTGACCTAAGAAAGTGTATAACCTTTCTTATATCAGTTACCTCTTCTTAGAACAGTGGCTTGAATGTAATAAGCATCGTATAAATGTTAGGTTATGTTTATTTAGTTTCTTAAATATCTGTCAGGTGATAATGAAAAAGATTATTCTTTAACAGTAAATAATAAAGCAAATGGCATATTAAAGCTTTTGAGTTTTGTCTTTAGAAAGATTCTAGTACATTGGCTGCTTTTTCAACTCTAAAATATTTCTGTAATCAAAGCCTGTCTGCTTTAATTTAAACTAATTTACAATTATTTTCTAGTAAGAGTACTCAATTACTTGTTGCCTAAAAGTACATCAAATTGCTCTTCTTTTCCTATTGAAGAAGAAAAGTTATAAGAACTGTTTTACAACTTGTATTTCTGTGCATGTGTTTCATATTGTAAGATACAAGTTTGATATTTTTCTACACATGGAATTTTAAATATGAAGCAGATATAAAGATATAGTAAATAGATCAAATTCTTTTTTTTTTTTTTTTACATTTATTTGTTTAACTTTAGGTGCATACTATATCTGGCATTTCTCCCCATGTTATCCCTCCCCACCCCCCGCTGTCTCTCCCCTGACCACCCCAACTACCCAGAGTGTGTGATGCTTCTCTCCCTGAGTCCATGTGTTCTCATTGTTCAACACCCACCTATGAGTGAGATCAAATTCTTTAAAGCAACATGTTTAAACTTGCAAATAAAACTTAAAAAAACAGATTCAGTAGCATTCAATCAATTCTAAGTTATTAATACTAAGTTACCTAGTCACTCCGTAAGATTCAACAAAATAGTTTTGTTCATCAATCAGTGGTACCAAAAATTAAACTTTGGTTTTAACCTTGGGGTCTTTGTGGTTAGCTCTCCTGGAATTTTTCTGAAATTTCATGAAAATAATAAAAAAATGATTTCAAAAATATTTGTTTATAAACATTTGTTTATTTACTGATAAGTTTGAAATTATATAATAAACATTTATCAAAATGTATAAAACACATGAAAATAAGTAACTCGTATATAGCACCCTTACTTTGGTTGCAGAAAAATTAAAATAACTGGTCTCACTTTAAATTCATGTCCACAAGTCTCAAATAGATTCTTAATTCTGTCATTCACAAGCCCATTCACTTTCTTATTTTCTAGGTGACTATTTCACAAGTTCTCCTCTCTTTTCAAGCCTGTATTAGTTAATTTTCTGTTGAGCAGCACACATTTATTTTCTTGTAATTTCTGTAGGTCAAGAGCCCAGGCATGACTTAAGCCGTGCAGGCTGAGCCCTTTGCTTGTGATCTCACAGGGCTGCAATCAGTGTCAGCTGGGCTGCATTCTCATCTAGAGGTTTGACTAATGTGCTTCCACGTTCATCCAGGTTGTTGGCAGCATTCAATTTTTGTGAGTTGTTTTTTTTTTTTGTTTTTTTTTTTTTAACCTGTCTGACTGAGGGCCACACTTATAACTGGCTATTGGCTACAGGCAACTCTCAGATTTTAGAGGCCACCCATAGTGGCCTGTCACATGACCCTCTCCACAGGGCCTTCAAAACTTGACTGTTTGTGTCTTGCAAGGCCAGTAAGAGACTCTCTCTTCATTGTGTGCCAGCAAAAATGGAGTCATATATTGAGTAAAATCACAGGAGTAACTTTCGTACCTCCTTTACCCTACAATGTAATTTAATCATGCTAATGACATTGGATCACTTTTGCCATACTCTTATAGTTAGACATAAGTCATGTGCCCCACTCACACTCACCGGGAGAAGATTGTACACATTGTAACACCAGTGTTTAAAGATCAGCGAGTCTTCCAAGAATTGTCCCAACCACCGCCCCCACAATTTTTCTTGCCTCTTTTTCTCTCCCAGCTAATGACCTTCCTACTTCCCTGAGAAAACTGAAGCAATCCAAAGTGAACTCACAAACTCATATTAACAAATACTTAATGAAGCAAGCAGCATTTATACTCATATAGTCCGCCTTCTCATCAACTACCATACATGAATTTTCCCTGCTCTTGTCTAAAACCATTCATTTTACTTATCCATTAAACCTCATTCTTCCTTTACTCAAAACATTCCTTCAGCAATTCTACCTTTTCTCTCTTCTTTTTCTGTCAAGTTTTTGCTCTCTACAGATTCATTCCCATCAGTGCACGACTGTTTTTTCTCTCATCTTAGAAAACCAAACAAAACTTTCTTAATATCACTTCTCCCAGCAGCTAATGCCCTATTTTGTCTACTCCTTTGTAT